CTTAGCTGGAGAAACAATGTCTGACTCAGCAATGCAGTTAACAAACCAAAACAGTGTATTCTTCTGGGGCAAGAGTAGGGAGGGGGACAAACACAGGAGTGACAGAGTCAGCAGCCCTCAAAATGCCTTCTGCTGCTATCAGCATGCCTTTTCTAAAGCCTGCTCTATATACAAACCAGCACTGGTTTAAACAATTGTGTGCAATTTAATTAACCATCATGCAGCCTTATGTGGATTCTCTTAATTCATTTTGAACCTGGCTCAGCTGATCTTCAGAGGGGTGGGTAAGTTTCAAGGCACCAGCTCATCTTCTATGGGCAGTTTTAAACTGATAGAAATAGCTTGTACCAGTTTAACTAAGTTGATTTTTAGAACCATATAGAGAAACAGGTGCAATGTCTGTGTGTAGGCCAGGCCTAATGCCACTTACCTACCATGCTTCTCCTTTCATTTGCACACACAGCCCTATAACTCGTGTGCAGAGTGATGGCAAAGTCTGTGGGATGGGTCCTTATAGGGTTGCCAACCCTCCAGGACTGCCCTGGAGTCTCCAGGAATTAAATATAAATCTCCAGGACACTGCTGAGAGTCACTTGGGAGATAAATGGTAGGGCATTCATTAAAATAAATATAAAATGGTATGAGATGATAAAGGACAGTTGGCTTCAGTGGGACTCCTCACATGTATAAAGCTAAGCATGTAAAAGCATTGGCAGGCTTAGGACTTGTCTGTGGAATGTACGTAAAGGGGATACCTGTAAAGGGGATGCCATTTTCTGGGGAGCCATTCACTAACCCTTATCTGGGGGCAGCATAGAATGGTTCTGTTAAGTTTGCCCCTAGATTGTAGCTGTAAATAGCATAGGACCCTTTGAGGGAACAGCATGGGATGGGATAAACTCCTATAGTCCCTTGATGCAGAATTGTTCTTTCATCAGTACAGATACTCTAGCAGAGCCTGCTTTGTTGGTGTTTCCTTAAGTGTCAGTGCAGACCATCTACTGTGACAGCATGTGCTGGTATAAGGATCTCGGTACAGATAAGCCCTTGTTATGATTGGGGAAACTATCTAGTACCTCCCTCAAGGGTATTGCATTAATCCAACCCATTTCTCTCTGCTTCGAAATGGATTGAAAGAAAAATCCTCTTCAAAGGGGCTAGGGACAGACATTACACATAAACTGGTTTAAGTGATCAGAAACTGGTTTAAACATGTAACAGAACAGATGTTCAGTACACATAAACCAGTTTGAGAATGGCTGAAACCTATTTGAGATAAACCTGGTTGAACATAGTATCAGACTTAACTGATTTGGCTCAAACCCGTTTGTGCAATGTTTGTCCCAGACCCCTTGCTGGTTTAAGATAAACCAGAGTCCCCCAGCATCCCAGCATGCTCTCGGAGCTGGGTGGGGCTCTCTGCTCCACAGCAGGGCTGCCCCCCTCCTCTGCTTCCTGGCTGCAGCTCCCCTGCCTTCCCCTCACCACTCCCTGCTTAGCGGGAATTCCCCACACCCCTCTGCCTTGCTGAAGAGGTGTCTGTGTATTAGCTAGCAGACCACATGCTGGCTACAGTCTGTGCTGAATCAACAGGTAGAATGAACAGGCAGAATCAACAAGTAGCTGGTAATGTCCCTCTGTTTTCTTAAACTGTGTTATCAGTTCCTTGCTGGGCTAATCAAAACTCCTGCCTGGCCACACCACCCCTCAGCTCTATGCTGTTGAAGGAAGAGAGGGCTACTATAGCACCCCCTGGCATCTAGCCTGAGCTACTGCAGGCATGTGCCTGTATTTCTGGAATGTCTGTCTGATTACAAAACTGATTTAGACTAGCCAGGTTAGACTAACCTGCAAAGATTGAATCAATTCAGGCTCAGGCATTTTAAATGTCTGTCCCTAGCCAGGATGAACAAACTGACATGCTTGTGGCCTCCTTGTTGTCTCTTGCTGGGGATGAGATTAGAGAAGCACAAGAAGAATTCCGGGACTAGGAAATGGTAATTGGTAAGGCTGAGAGCCTCAAAGGTACTTGGGTGTTGCTCTGCTCGGCATTGCAATGGTGAACCCCAAGGCATACCTCCATTCTCTGCCATCCTCAGGTCTGAACTAGGCATATAACTTACCCTGTGCATTTTCCAGGGGCCCAAAGGAAGGGATTCTTGGTAAACAGCTGGGAGCTGCTGGAACATGCCAGAAATGAACTACCTAACCTGGTGTGCTAGGGCAGAGATAGCTGCCTCTTCAGTGCCAGACAAGCACTTCCCTCACCTCAGTCTCCTAGAGCTGAGCACCTAGACCTAGAGATGCCTCCAGAATAGCCATGGGATAAGATTGCAATGTCTGACCTGCTGCAAGGACCTGAATCCTTATCCCCCACACCTCTCGCAACATTTCAGTTACATTGTTTATTGAGTTGAATAAAGAGGGCCAGGAGTGAATGAGAAGAACTAAACAGCAGCTTTTATTGCGAAACAGTAAGCAAGTATTTACAGTCCTCTTTTTTCTAAGAATTCTGCCACATGTTACATTTAAGATGAGATTAATGTGTTTGTCACACCATAAATAGTAAGCTGGCTACATGTTAAAGCAGGGGTGGGCAAATTGTGGCCTGTGGGCTGAATCCGGCCCACCCAAGTGATTTTTATCCAGCCATTAGTGGGTCCCTCAGCCCCACCCAGCCCATGGGTAGGGGATAGCCCAGGCTGTTGCATGTGGCCTGTCCCACTACCCCCAGACATGGAGCTGCTGCCTGGCATGAACCACAGCTTGCCCTGTCCTTATGCACGGCTCTTGGGCATGCCAGCAGCTGTCATCCACAGGGCCAGGAGGAGCAGTAACTTTCATCCTCACATTCCAACTGTCGCTGCT